GAGACCATGCCAGACGAGGGACGACACACACACCACAGACACTACAACGGGGTAGAACGGCCGCCACCGCTGCCGTGCGCGGCCTTATACGTTAGTTTTTGAAATAACCAGTGGCACACCTCGGGTAAGGCAGCAGAGGTTGAAACAAGTAGAATAAACTACGACCGCAGCCGGGCATAGGCCTACATAACCAGCGCCTCTTCCTCATCGCTGGCAGGCCGTGCACGAGGTTAATACTTCTGCAACTACCCGTACTCTAGCCTCCGGAATATTAAACCACACCTGTTTAATATTGAACTACTAGTAAGTAGGCTGTATTCATTTACTCACGTACGCCACAACGACAACGGACAATACGACAGTGGGCTACTCACGGCAATTAACCGACGCGCCTGTCTCTCCTACCATGAGGCAAGGCACACGCCAAACGACCGTGACAGTTGATACAGTATCCTCGGGTTCTCGTATGCTGAACTGTCACGCATACCCCGCCACACACACAGCTCACAGGCCACGTCTACAGCATGCATACGCACGGAGTAGACGTGGCTACAGCAGTACTAACTGACGAGTCCTCCGCTCAGCTCGTCTACGGGACGAACTGGCAAACACTAGTCCCTCCCTCAACGATTCTGCGTAGAACCTCAATACCGTGTCTCTCGACCACGTCACTGGCCTAGGCTGTTTACACGCGCAGCGCACTCACGGGCCGCTGAGGGGGTGGCTAAGCTCAACATGGCGCTGCCGCCCAGCAGGACTCAGACTAATCTACTCGTTATTGATGAGGCGGCTGGCAAAACAACACGAAAAGCACACTAATAAACAGGCAAACATCAGACAATAATTATACCGTCAGCAACACACGATCACAAACACACTCTGGTTCCACGGAGCCACCCATGGCAGGAACCCGAGGGCTCCGGTGCCACGCTACACTCCTCCCCCCTTCAAGCATCGACCCGCCAGTGTCGATCGCCAAAAACATACCTACGTGTGCACCAGCACACCCGACGTCCGGAGGAGACCTGCTGATCTATCTCGGTGCAGGCTTGTCGCTCCTTTCCGTGCCTTCCTGTCGTCGATGGCCGCCACTGCCTGCCTATGAGCGTCGCTTTGGCATGCGCGGGCGACGCTTCTCCCAAGGGCTAACGGGGGCTCGCATCACTGTCAGGGGGAATAATAGTGGCAGGCTCCCTCCACGAAGGGCATCATCCACCCACGCGCATTACAGGCTCCATCGCCTCGCGGTGCACGCTCCTCCGGCTCGGCTGCGTCTCCTTCGTTCTCCTAAAATGAGCAAGCTCACACGCCCCATTTCTGTAAATCAAAGCGGCCTTCCCCCTACCAGTCTGCCATGTTGTCGACGTTTACAACCACACCCTGCGACATACAGCGTGATGCGGATGTCCGGAGTTATCAAGGATAATCTCCCGGAATCCGTCTCAAACTCCGACACTCAATGGAAGTAACCCCAAAATTCGGTTTCTGACAAGGTAATAATGCTGAATCGCCGCGTGGGTGAGTAGCGCGTACAGCCGGCGAGAAGCCCACGTGACGCAACTACCATGGATGCTCTAACAGAAACCCGAAATGCAGTGCGGGTGCGACATTCCACGAACCTTAGGGGTGCGCTTGGCCGACAGACACGGATTCGTAGGCCGGTATGGAACCCGCACTCGGTGCCCTACCCGCAAATATGGCTAGGCCCCGTGGCCCCATATTCCCGCGTTAACCCCAGGTCAGGAACGCCAGGCGCCCCTACAAGTTCGCCCGAAACAAGTAACTGGCGAGAGACTGTCCATCCTGGCCCCACGGAGCTCCAGATGCCGCCAGGATGCGTCCCTGCCCTAGCGGCTCAAACGCACCGAGAACCAGCCGGCCTCGGCCTACACCAACTACTAAGCGCTCAAGCAAGTGAGGTAGTATTTATAGAAAATACCCTGGAAGAGGGGAACTCAGCCGAATATATCAGCATTCATAATCCGACGCCGGCAGACCAAAAAATGCCGGCAACCCGGGCGTACAGACAGCATAGCTCGCGAATCACTATGGCGAGCCCTGAAGACAACTCGTGCTGACACTAACTCTATAATGAATAATTACCGAGACAGTGGTGACACACAGGACATTTCAGGTTTACTTACCGCGCACAAGAATCACCCGAGGCACGATAACAATTAATCCGGGATACTACAGACTGGGCATGGAATCATTACCCAGCCATGGCAAGAGAATAGACGATAGAAAGAGAATTAGCTAGCATTTCTAGCGAATCCAACAGTCCACCCGGTGGGGGAGGCCCCCACAGGGCCTCGGTCGCACAACCACCTACTACGGGGACGCCCTAATCCGTAGTGACACGGAGGTTTTCAGCTAAGTGTCTAACCCGGTGTAACGTTGCAGCCGAGTAGGTCGTCACAAACCACCCCGTGCCCTGGTGAGAAGCGTCGCCGCGCATGCAGCGACGCTCCAGGCAGGCAGTGGCGGCGATCGACGAGGAAGGCACGGAGGAGCGACAAGCCAGCAACCGATGATAGATCCAGCTGGTCTCCTCCGCGTCCGGGTGGCGCGGTGCCACCGCTAGGTATCGTTTTTGGGATGCGACCTGGCGTCGATCTTAAGGGGGAAGGAGTGTAGCGGTGGCACAGCGGACCCTCGGGTTCCTAGCAGGGTGGCTCCTGGGAACGCAGAGTGTGGGTGATTCTGTTGTTTGTGAGGCGCTGTATAATTATTGTGATGGTCTGCTGTTTATTAACGTGTGCGATTTCCGTGTTGTTTTGCCAGCTCATCATTAACGATGTAGATAGTCGGAGTCCCTGCATGGGGGCAGGCCATGTTTGGGTTAGCGGCACCCCATCCAGCGGCCGCGTGAGTGGCGGCTGGCCGTGTAATACCGCTAGGCAGTGACGTGTCGTGTGTACACGGTATGAGTTCTACGCAAGGAATCGGTTGAGGGGAGGACTAGTGTTGGCAGTCGTCCGGTAGCCGAGTGAGGGAGGACTCGTCAGTTAGTATGTGTAGGCGCACGTCTACTCGCGTGCGTATGCATGCTGTAGGAGTGGCCTGTGAGCTGTGTGTGTGCGGATATGGTGAAGTTAGCATACGAGTACCCGACGGTACCCTGTATCATGGTCAACGGGTCGTTGCGTGTGCCTTTGCCTCATGGGTGATGAGATACAGGCCGCATCGCGTTAATTGTGAGTAGGCACTGTCGTATTGTCGTTGTCTTGTTGGGTGAGTAATAATACAGTACTATTAGTCGTCATATTGAAACAGGTTGTTTAATATTCGCTAGGCTAGAGTACGGGTATTGAGAGTATTAACTCTCGTAGCACGCTGGCAGAGAGGAGAGCCGCCGGTTAGCTAGTAGGCCCTATGCACCCCGCGCCCCGCCCGCCGGCTGCGTTCGTAGTTTATTTCACTTGTTTAACTCTGTGGCGGCTAGCCCGAGGTGTGCACTGGTTATTCAAGGTAAATATAAGGCCGGCAGGGGAGGTGGGGTTACCCGTTGTGAGTGCGTGTGGTGTGTGTCGTCCGCCTGCGTCTGCATGGTTGACTAACTCTACGAACGCACTGAACCGGAACACGAGAACAGGTTATTGCGAGCGCGTCAGCTTCAAAAGGCATCAAGGTGGCTTAGCGGGAGGCGAGCGATCACACGGCGCGCACCACGGTAGAGACAGTAGTTAGCCAACTCTGAAAATGGGGAAACCCAGATCGCGACGCCCTCAAAAACCCCAGAAACCCCAGATCTCAAAATAAACGGCATCAGCGCCACTCTCGGAGCATTATATGAATATATTGGCTTTTTAATTTATTTTATTATACTATTAGTTTAAATAGAATTACATAACATCTCACACAAAAACACAAATATAGGTCCTAGATGTTACTAAGTTTTAGTATATCACTTTAAAGGGCATGTAAATCTATGAAGACTAGTCACAATATTAATAAAAATAAAAATAATATAAATAAATAATATAATAATAAAAAATAAATATATAATATATAGTGATATTATCTATATATATATTTTTTTTTTTCCAATTGTAAGGAATCCACTTGGTCAGTGGAACCGAGACTACTGGACAATAGACTGGGTGATAGACTGGGTTGGTTCAGGGGAACAATAGACTGGTACCCGTCCTTTCTCACAAGCTCGATATAGGTGCTATATATATCGATAGGGGATTAGGCCGCCTAAATACTCGAGCCTTTGTGAGAAGGGACGGTTACGCGGTCTATACAGACAGGATCGACAGTTAGTATATTGGTGACAGCAATGCAACGTCTGGTTCTGTCCGGGTATGAACTGCGCCTTGAGCTCGCATGGCCGGCGGGAACTAACATTATACTCTGCAAGAAATTGAACTCCATGGTTTCTAGAACAAAAAACCCCAGATTTGGCAATGTGAAAAACCCAGAACCGCAGATTGAACTGAAAAACCCAGAAACTCTGTGGTAAAAACCCCAGATGGTAACACTGCGGGTGAGTGAATATACCTAAGATTGTGTGGCTAGCCATTTAGTGTTGACCGGTGGCGCCATCGGGTGTCGCCGGGAAGCAGCGAAACGCTACATGCAGTCAGTGTTATTCAGGCGGGAACGTGCTGGCATCGGACGGTCTACGATCAACAGGTAGCGTGCAAGATCGTATTATTCGTTAGGCGGCCTACAACGGCAGCTAATGACTGCTAAGGCGCAGCCTGCATTTCATAGGATTGTGGCTTTCTGTAGCGGAATAAGCCCTCTGTATTGCCAGAGGCCACTTGATGTAGTCATATCACGGCTGGAGCGCCGCTCCTGCAACATACAATATCGACGGAAGAGATCACGTTCGGTTTCGCGCTTTTTTGATCACTAAGCTATATATATTTATTTATCATCATGACTTACTGCTACATCATCATTGGCAAAGATTGCTTGGTCACATTGTTAAGAACTGGCGACAGTAACAGCTGCTGATAGAGAGGAATTGTCAACTTTCGATGCTATAAATAAGAATCAAAAGATCATGCTTGTTGTTGAAGGCTTTAATTTTGAAGTAAAAAGCAAAAATGAACATCTCACTGACTTTTGATGTTTAGCAACGGTAGCGCGTTACCGAGATTAGAGCGTAGTATAAAGGATTAGGATAAAGGTCAGGCGTTAGGGTTGGGGTTAGGTTAGGGTTAGGGGATAGGAATTAGAGTCAGGGTTAGGGTTAGGGACAAGTTCAGGCGATGGGATTAGTGTTAGCATTAAGGTTAGGGTTAGGGTCAAGGGTTAGATAAAGGTCAGGGTTAGGGGTTAGGGTTAAGGTGCAGGGTTAGGAATAGTGAATTAGGTCAGGGTTAGGGTTGATGGTTGAGAGATGAGTATTAGAATCAGGGTTCAAGGTTAGGGTCAGGATTAAAGATTCAGCGGTAAGAGTTACGTTACGATGAAGGTTATTGTTAGGGTAAGGGTAGGAGTTGAGACGCGTGTTTTGCTCCGCTTCTGAGCGGGTGGCACACGTTTGTTTTGCAGTTAGTTCGTCAAAGTTAATGTAAGAGAAATAATCTTGTGTTACGACTCATTCGCCAACGTGTTCAGCCTGTTGGTTTCTAAGGCATGTGAGAGGGCTCAAATATACGCCGTGTTTTAGGCAGAGGTGTCGCCGGCGTTCAATAGGGGGCGCTGAGTCACTTATTAAGAAAAAACATGGCGGGGCGATCGAATAATATCGTCCGCATGTTGGGCTCGTATTATGCCCTAATTACAACCATACTCCATCTAAAAAAAGTAAGAGAGAGTGTCTGGCCTAAAGGCAGCCATATCCATAATAAACTCTATAGTGATTGCTAATGTCATTGTGCAAGTTTGCCATCCACCGTCGGCCCCTTAGCCGCCGACCATACAACGTAGAGTGAGCATATTGGCTTTAAATGTTTTCAGCGTTACAGGAAACGTGCGTTATTGAGGCTATCTAACAGATTGATGAAGTGTATCCGTTTTTTGCTAAAAGGCGAGTTTTTACGTCCGTCTGTATGCGGGATCAATTACAGAGAAATATAATAAGAGATATATATAATATATATACTATTATATATATATATGTAACGAACTTCGGCTGCTATAGGCCTGCATATCCCCGCATCCCTATCGTACGCCTGTCGCCGTGTCTCCAGCATCCCAGTCGAGTGTAAGCATCTCTGGTGGCTATGACAGCGATCAATTGATTCCACCTGTTGTATGAGTGAACCTGTGGGTGATTGTGCTGCTTGTCATGTGATGTGCGTGACATTAAACATGCTTGATCAGCCTTCTCTCGTGATGCATGATGGAAAGCTAGTAATGCCTACGCCGTGCTGAGCCTTGTGGTATAAATACTAGGCTCAGCTCCCGCATAAGACGCCTCAGCCTCGGTCCAGCCCAAGCCGAGGCGGGCGATCGGATCGACCGAGACGGAGTCAAGCCAGCATTGCGGCCCAGCAGCATGAGCTCCTCACCTTCAGCGGGATCACGTAATGATAGCGCAATATAGTACTTAATCCGCGCTGCACAGGGCAAACAACTCACAACAGGGTCGTTTTATCTAGTTCCTGTTGTGCTGTTCAGATCATTGTGTATATTTCTGCACCGTCAGCGACAACGCTGTGTGGGATTTTGTGCACCACCTTTAGTTCACCTTAGTCTGTTGACTAAGCGCGAATAAAAGCCCTTGGCTATTCCCGCGTGAACACTTTATGGCATGCCTTGTTCTGGTTTTACGTTGGTTGCTATTTCTTGTGTTTGACACTACACAACAATTCCTGTGGTCGAACGCGTCATTCGTCGTCAATAACTGACGTAAAATCGTTGGCAGTATATTATATATATATATATATCCGTGCTGTGTTATCTGTGTGCGCGTCGTGTGTGTGTATGCGTGCGTGTGTACGTCTGTCAAAATTGACATTTTACTCGTTCATCACGCCTGTTTGTACCTACATTCTGAACAGTACAAGAATACTCCAACACTTTAATATTGTTGTTTTTTTGTCACAACAATTAAAATATATTTAATATTATTATAATTTATACAATTATAATTCATGCATCTTCGTGTGAACACTATAACGCTATCTCAAGGAGTTGCAGAGAGATTATTTAATGGAGTCATTATAAATTATTGAAAGTGACAGTACGTTGGTAGCGTTACTGATAGTATATTAATAAGGAAGGACTGAACTCTAAGTATGAACACATTTTACTGATATACTTGATTAATTTTACTCGTTTTCACACCTGCTTGGCGAAACCTTAAACAATACAACAGTATGACGCATAAAATTTAAACATCTGCGAAACCATATCTGCCCGCATGTGTGAGCGTGCCTGTGGGGAACGCAGTAACTGGACTACCACGATGAAAATACATTTATACGTTTTTTTTAAAGTGTGTAGATTTATAATGCAGCCGCTTTTACACTAAGAACGCACCTGTGCTTCATGGCAATTGAAATATACTAGTTTTTAAGGTGCAGCAAATGCGAATATGTGTTTTAACGCTATGATGAAAATCACACGTGTGAACGAATCTAATAGCTCTTTTAAGTGCGCATATAACGCGCGTTCGTTTCTTGGTACTTGAATTCTTGACATTTTCAACGCGGTACCCTCCATCCGTTGATAACAGCTAGGTTGGTCAATAATATCAATTCTGGCGAATCAAATCACGCGTACGCAGTAAAAAGCAGCAAGTGTATGGTTGGCCATTGTACTCAGAAATATACTGAATTTTAATGCGGTAATGCGTAATTACACGAATGACTAGGTAATAGCACAGTTATGTCCCTACACACTTCCATATTACTATGTTAGTATATTATATTAAACTCGAATGTTTCTTTATTTGATTTAAGATTTTCTCTCAGTTTAAGGTGTGACAGCACTTTTTTAGTTCAACGATCTTATTGGGACGTTGTGAGTTGATGCTCACGCGCACACGCAGAACTATATAAATACAAGGGTGCGTAAATGAATTGATAGTTTGCAACCTGCGCGTCCTAGTAGAAGGTTCTAGCTTTTGGCTAAGCGTGACAACACGTTTCAGATCTTTGTGATAAATTTCTATTTAAGACGAGAATATATAGCAGAAACGGTGTGAAATTCTGACCCTTGTTTCGTCATCAAGCGAAGACAATCTGACTGACTGATCAATAATCTACTCGCGACACAGACCTCTTCAAACAGCAGATAGATTTCAGTTGGACCCAAACAATTCGCGTTTCTTAGCGTGCCCAACAACCGCTTCAAAACGAGAATATATAGCAAGGAACGAGAAAACGAAGACGGTTTCAATATCAACAACGATGAATGGAACCCGATTTGACAACGACAGCAACCCGATAGGTAGTCAGGAGGATGGTGAAGATGGAAACGCTCTTAGCAACGTGTATTTCTACCAAACGCCAACGTTCGGTAAAGTGCTGCTGTTAATGTTGTTTGCGACGACCAGTGCACTCACACTGGTGGGAAACGGTCTCGTGATTATCATCATAGCAAAGATTCGCCGACTGCAGATACCAGCAAACCTCGCGATCGTCAATTTGGCCTGTATTGACTTCATTATGGGACTCACACCAATCGGAGCCTTAACTCCTACTCAAACAAGGCTTCGTTGCGCGTTTGTAGTGGTCCACGTAGCCGGTTCTATTCAAGGGAGCGTGTTGGGCATCGGACTGTCTACGATCAACAGGTACGTGGCAATCGTACATCCGTTACGCTACAACCAGCTAATGACTGTTAAGCGCACCTGCATTATCATGGGATTGTGCTTTCTGTACGCACTAGGCACTGGTATTGCCGGAGCCATTGATCTAGCATATGACTGGGGCCCGCTCTCAACGTGCAATGTCGACGCCGAGATCACGTCCGGGTTCGTGGCCTTTCTGATCACTAACTATATTGCATTAGTTATCATCATGACTTACTGCTACATCATCATTGCCAAGATCGCATGGGACCACACGGTAAGAATGGCGGCAGCAACAGCTGCTCAGAGAGAGGAATTGTCAACTTTCGATGCTATAATGAAGAAGTCAAAGATCATGCTTCTAGTTGTCGGCACATCGTTGTTTCTTCTTATGCCGGACACGATACACATGATGCTGGTCCACAGCGTTGAAGCTTCCAAGCTTTCAGCGTCCGGGCTTCAAATACTCCGGAGGATTCGATTGATTGGATATATAACTAATTCATTGCTGAATCCAATCATTTACTTCTACAAGTTCAAAGACTTTCGTCAAGCCGCAAAAGAACTGTTTGGCTGCAAGCCATCCAGCGTTGCACCGTTTCAGCCGAGCATGGAGTAAAGCACGAATACGAGGTAGCACAGTATCTCTTCAGAGACAGACGGCCAATAACAGAATTTCAAATTTACAAGATGATCCGCCTTTTAAAACCATATGACTGTTTGTACCTATTTTTATTTTATGACAAGTCGATGTAATTAACCTGAGAGTAACTGTTATTTTGACAAGTGATGTAGCGGTGTTTGTCAATTCCTCTGATAATCGCATAAAATACGACGACATTATTCCAAGAACCGCGGTAATCGTTTGTTCTTAATTTAATTAGGTGTGTTGTATGGTGTTATTATATGGTATAATATAATAGCTATAACCGATGTTCTATTACAGACGAGCACGATTAATGTTTATACTATCACGGTTTGTGACGGATAGATGAGACCAGGAGGGAGAGTATGACACGATCGTGGGATGAGGTATCTTACGTCTCCATATCTACACTCTCTCACCCTAATGTACCGGAGGAGGGTGGGATTGGCAGAGAGTGTTAAGCCGTAGACCTTGTACTCTGTGGGAATGACTCGTTATATATATATATGTATATATATATATATATATGTATATATTTAGAGAGAGAGAGAG